AGATCTTACTGCACTGCTTTCTTCACAGAAACAAGTGCAAAGATGAATGCTGCAAGTTAGTCAGCCTTCCTAACACTTGCTCAAAATAAAGTAGCTCAGCAAATAGTAAGGTGGGGATGACAAGTCCCATGACAACTATGCACCCTGGCCCCTCCAGCAGAGTGAACATGCCATTACTACGTGACTACATGGGGCCACACGGACACACAGGGACCCAGAATGCTGATGACCCAGAATGCTGATCAGCAGGGTCCCAGTGACCCGGGGAGAGCTGAAACCCATCTGCTGTCTTGGCATCAAGGCCAGACTTGACTGCTGAACTAGACCCAGGTCTCTCAACAGTGAGCCTGAATGTGCTAGGTTCCTATTCATACTTGAGGGGTACTGACACTGTAATTTCAGGGATAAGACTTTGGTTTTGTTCTTTTTAGTACCAGGGATCAAACTTAAGACCTTGTGCTTGCCAGGCAGGTGTTTGTGTCGCTATCTCCCCAGCCCTTGTTTTGTTTTTGTTACAGGGTCTTGTTGTAGTTCAGGCTGGTCTTAAACTCACTAGCTCAGACTGATCTTCCATAGTCACTCACAGTGATTTTCTTGCTTCAGCCTCCTGAGTGCTGGGTTACAGGTATGACAAGGATTTTAATTTCATACTTAATGTAGATCATCGGGAACTCTGTATACCCATTATGGGTAGACACATTAAAAGAATTTGAGGTCTGTGAAAAGTTATCTAAAATTTTAACTCTGGTCAGAAACAGGCACTGGCCTCACCACAGACACTCTTCAGAACAGCTTCTAAGAAAGTGAAATCAAGGGAAAAAACAAGATACTTCTTTTACTTCAAGGAAAAATAATTCACAGTAGAGGAAACAAGCTAACCTCAAGGGCAGAAGACATAACTTTAGTAAAGGCTCAGAAACTAAATATTGTCTTGTAGATCCTCCAAAAACAGTATAATTTGAACCTTGTAAAACTTTCCCTTCTTCCCACAGTCTTAGAAGACTACACTCTTTGTCTGTCCTCCAGTAATAAAGATCCCTGCTCACCCTAGGCTGCTCAATCCCCTTCAATTTTGAATCCCAGCTCACTCATCAATTTCACCTTAAAAGAGTACTACTTTATTCCCAAATGGGTACAAATTAAGTAACAAAGGGCACATTTATATGGCTCTTTCACCTCTTTTCCATGATTGTAGTCCTGGACTAAATCATACAAACTTATGCTATGACCATAAATCACAAATCTGAAGGTCATTTAGTTCTCATGGGTCACTGTCATGGCTTCTGCCAAGATGTCCCCCCAAAACCTCACATGGTCGTATGTGGGGGTTTTTCAGAGATGACTAAATCTAGAGTATGTGATTGCAATGCCACGGTTAAAGGGTGCCAGGATTAAGGGTGGGTGACTACTCAATCAGTGCACTGGTTGGTTTGGCGCCACCCTATCCTGGTCGCCTAGATAAATATAAGGAACAGAAAGCTGTCCTGTCCCTTGCTTGCCCTAGTACCTCTGGGTGCCATGAACTGCTTCTCCTCTGCAATGCTGTCTGCTATGCCCACACTGCCTCGGAGCCAGCTAATTATGGGCTGAAGCTGTTATAAACTATTTCTCTAAGTAAATCTTTCCCGCTCTAACTTTGGGTGCCAGATATTCTGTCTCAGCAAAAGAGAAGTAACTAAGACAATCGTGAACTATTTTTTAAATGTTTTTTTAGCTACTTAAAACTGTAAAAGCCATTCTTAGTTTGTGGGCCACACAAAAAACAAGCAGTGGGCTCAATTCAACACAAAGGTTGTAGTTTTCTGATCTCTGATTTAGAACCCCCACATTTTGAAAAAGCACTTTACTGAGCAAGTTCTGTTTTACATAATTCTATTATTATCTGACTTGGAATTCTCTCTTACTCTCTCTTACTTTAATTAAAAGTGTGATGTATCTCAATTAATCTCTTTGTTCCATTGTAAGGATTTTCTTGCATCTGCCTTGGTTAAATGATATACCTTTTATGTAATATGGGGTTATTTACCTAAACATCTGAAAGTTTGTTATATAATATTGTCCTTTCAAAGGCAGTTTGTCTAGAATCTCTGATTACTATATTTTCCCTTTGTTCCAATGTAATGAGATCTATTTCTCAAATCTCCCAATATCTTAGGTGCATGAATGATTTCTTGAAAGAAGAAAACAGAATAAACAGTCAAAAGAATTAGTAAAAGATGTTTAAGGGCAGACAGATGAATATAACTATCAATGCCTTTTTACAAACCTTTTATCTCTAAAGGGAGTAAAGAAAGCAAGCCTTTGTGTGGAAGCTGAGATTTAAGTACTGAGAAACAGGAATTAAGATTTGAAGGGGTAGGAGAAAACATCTGTTCAAATGAAGACTATCTTTCTCTGAGCAGATGATATACAGAATTCTCATGGAGTGATGTGAAGAGTTATTTGGTAGTCTCCTCTGTCCTCCACCAGCTGAGAGATGAGGACATGACTCAAACTTCTTTAGGCAAGGCTGAGTGTACTATGTACATTACTACTGCACCTGAAAATACCTATCTAAAAAGAGATGGGTCTGCATCTCTTTTGCTAACACTTCAGAAGCTTGTCATCAGTACTACCATAGTCTAGGTCTCTCTACTGGTACAGTAAAGAACTATGTGGAAATTGTACAGAAAATTTAGATTAAAAATACAGACTATCTAGGTTTCTTTTTCTTTTTTGGTACCAGAAACTGAACTCAGGACCTAGCACCCGCTAGGCAGGAGTTTGTGCTGCTGACCTATCTCCCCAGCCCTGGATTTTTTCTTTACATCTTCAAAGTTGTATACCCCTAATAAAGGCTACATCTACACTTCTTTTTTTAAAATTTCTTATTTCTATACTTTATTTTATCTTATTATATTGTATTTTAGGGAAGGGTCTGCAGGGTGTTCAGGGTCTCACTACTACATCAGACTCGTAGTGATCTTCCTGTTTACAGCCTCCCAAGAGCTGGGATTATAAGCGTGTGCCACCACACCCAGTCTCTACATCTACACTTCTAACACTTGTCAAAATCACACTGGGCTTTCACACAGCACTACCTGAGCTTGACAAGGCAGTGGTGTAGGATACACCCAAACTTGAGATGAAATGATCCACTGAGAAAACAAAGCACGTTTATGTTCTCTACCTACTTAAGATTATAGGCCTTATTCCATTTTATGGCTAAAATTGAATGGATATGCAAGCTTATTTTTAGTATATTTGTTTGCAATGCAAGCTATTCCATTTTCAGACTTACCAGGAAAAATGAAGTTGTAAATTTGTACTTGTAGCGTGTGAACGCCAAGTAGATGATATATAGTATGGTATTTATAAAAAGGAACATGTTTTCAACATGATTCATAAAATCAGTACTTCATACCTCATTGGAATCACGTTCAGAGCTCTGCAGGCTTTTATCTGTCATCAAAAGATGAATAAAAGAAATATATCCAACTAATTTTCTATTTATTTATTTTTATGTATTTAGTACAGGGTCTCACTATGTAGATCGGACTCATAGTGATTCTCCTGTTTTCAGCCTCCCAAGTGCTGGGATTACAGGCACATGCCACCATGCCCAGTCTCCATTACCCTCTCAGCACGCCCCAGGGGTGGGGCTGGAATGACATGCTGAGATCAAGCTGCTGCTGCTGCGCTCTGCCTAGGCAGGCACTTTAGTCCACTGAGCTATCTGGCAGGCTCCCAACTAATTTACTTTAAAGGACTGGCTTCTTGGGCTGAGGAGATAGCTCGGCAGACTAAGTGCCTGCCTGGCAAGCGCAAGGACCCAGACTTGATCCCTGGCACCGCATTCAATGCTGGCTCTGGAATCCCAGAGTATGTTACGCCAGCCACCAAAACCAGCCATGATGGCACACACCCGTAGTCCCAAAGCTGGAGAGGCTGAGACAGGAGGATCACTACAAGTTTGAGCTGCATAGTGAGACCCTGTACCAAATAAATAAATGAGTAAAAGATTTTTTTAAAAAAGGATAGTCTTCTTTAAAGTCTATAATGATTCTGTGAAAATTAAGGAAAACACCAAATGTGGAATGTACATTTTAGCTTTAAACAAAAAGACTGGAGAACTACAACTTCAGTTGTTACCATTACTCAACTGTTTCACCAAACCCCTGGCAGTGTCTTTGTTTTATAGGTAGAGAATAAAACTATGATCCACCTGTATCTTTGTTCTGTGACAGTGACTGAGAGTGTTTAATTAAAAAAGTATAATGGTATATCTATGTAGCCTGATGGCTAACCTTGGCTGTCAACTTGACTGGGCTGAGAAACACCTAGTATGTTAGTAATACATTTTTCTGGATGTGTCTGTAAGGATGCTTCTAGAGATGGGCATGTAGGATGGCGACCAGGGAGGGAGACCTCCCCTTGGTGCGGGTAGCCCTACCAGGAGGCTACGGGCCTGGATAAAACACAAGTAGAAGGAGAAGGAAGCCACCAGCTTGGGCTCCTTCCCTCTTTACTTCCTGGCTGCCGTGAGGTGAGCAGCTTTCCTTTACCACAACCTGTGGCTCTGACATTTCTCTCCCTCATCTCAGGCCTAAAAGTAATGGAGCCACCTAGCCATAGACTGAAACTTCTGAAACCCCGGGCCACAGTAAACCTTACCTCTTCTAAACTGTTTTTCTAATATTTGTCATAGCATCAGAAAACTATGATACTGGGTGAATCCATCCAATACAGAGTTTCTTATTTACTAAGACCTTAAAACACTATGTAGGAATGTTATGTACTAGTTATTAAAAAAAAAAGATATAAACAACAAGACAACAATGGTTCTATATGTCAAAGCAAAAGGTATTCGGAGGAAGAAACAAATACAAACTTCTGAGTCCTCAAAACAAAGCTTTACCCTACATGGCCATACAGGAAAAGGCCTGCAGAATTTTAATTCTGTTAGGAGAGGGTAGAAAAGGTTTTTACTTGTTTTGCTGATTTGAAACATTTATACTCACATCTTGTCTTGGCCAGCACCAACTCGCAGAGTCAATCTGGGGATAACTGGACTTGGGGCTGGAATGACTGGTTCCACTTTTATCTGTGGAAGTTAGCACATTACAAGTCAATATAGATTCTCCCCTGCAAAAGGGCCTACTCGTGCGTCTGCTTTTAAACCCCTACAAGCTTAATAAACAACTTTAAGCCACAAATATGTCTAAGATGCTAGACATAAAGACCATCTGGGCTATCCAATGTTGTATTTTCAATAACTGAAGGCTATCTTGCATCTTGAGAAATTCCATGAACTTTAACCACAATATGTAAATAGGGCAGTTATTTCTGTTTTATTCTTGAGTTCCATTATACTGTCGGAATTGTCAAACAAAATTGATTATTTAGAGCATTTGGTAAAATATTTATATAATTGCCAGATTTAACATAACTAGAAAAACCTTCAATAATATTTTCCTTTTAAGAGGAAATATACTTGTTTATGGGACTTAACAAATGTTAAACTCATTATTAAGTTTGCTTTAGCACATGAGAAAGCTAAAACATCAAATGTAACTACAGCATTACCTTATTCCATTTTTGGTTAGCAGTAAAAAGATCTAAAATGCTGTAAGATAAAAAACTATTACTTCTTAGGATTTGTAGTGATTCCTGAAAAAGTTAAAAAAATATTTGATCTACTACTTAGAATGAAAATATAGAAGTAGCATATTAAAGAGTCTCCACAATTTTTCATTTGAACAGCTTACAGTGTAATTTTTTTTTTCCAGAACCGGGGCATTATTTTGAATAAGCTAAACAAAAACCTCTATGGCTCCAAATTATTATTTACATCAATTTTCAATGGGGGCTTGACTGGCATTTTTGGTGGGATAATTCTTTGCTGCATGGGACTGTCTGGGCATTGACAGATGTTCAGGATGCGTGTTGTCCTGGAATATTTTGTGAGAGCAGTTTATTGCTAGTCAATGACAACAAGCTGCAAAACACTGATTATGTATTTTAAGAATTAAATCATAATAGTGTGGTGGTTCTAATACTATTCAGTACATTATATCACAGGTGATTCGCACATGGGCCAAATCTATTACTCTCATATATTTACTAATCTCCTCGAAGAGCTGTGTTGAACCAACCATCATAGCAAGATCTGCTCTGAGGTCTACTTAAACTAAGTAAAACCCTCTTGCACAATGCCTGGTATGTAGGAGGCACTCAATCAACATTCTTTAATCAACACCTTATCCAAAATGTCCAGTCATCTCTCATGTCTCATGATTATTCCATTGTTCACCCATGACCAACCTACTACTATCCTCCAGAGTGCTAAGTGATACTGAAGAAAATTTATGCCTTTTCCTATCAGTTTATTGGATTTCCAGTTCACTTAGATATGGGCTGACACCATGTCTGTTTTGCTTATTGCTACTGCCCAGTGTCTATTAAGCGCTTAAGACACATTTAAAGTATGAATATTGGGGCCGGGGAGATGGCTCAGTGGAATAAGCGTTTCCCTGGCAAGTGCAAGGGCCTGAGTTCAATCCCTGGTTCCGCAAAAAAAAAAAAAAAAAGTAGTAATGAATGTAAAATTTTATTACGAGTACTGCCCTGTTGCTCAGCAAATTCAACAGGAAGAAGTATTGAGGCTACTAGGCAAAAGAACTTCAACTTCTCATAAGTAGACTTTTCTGCATCCTCAATTATAACTACAGCCCATTTCCTCTAGTTTTTAAAGAATATTATTATTCATTAGCTTAATTATTTACTGTATCCTCAACCTATCTGGTCAATTATTTTTATCTACCTTTTAAATGAGTTCAACTCTATATTTAAAAAGAAAATTACCTTCCCTTCAACCTCTACCTAACAACCCCTCACATTTATTGTTCCTTTATTCACTTTACTGTCCTTGTTTCTTCACTTATTATTCACTCCTCAACCCATACTACTCTTGTTTTTTCCCCAACCAGGTCATTAAAACTACTCTTCAGAAACACTAATTACTTCCTGATGACCCAGTATATGTTTTCCATTATAGGTCATTCCATTCCTTCCTTTTCTTTACAAAGTCCTCTACTCTTGCCTGATCTTATTTATTCCTCTCATCATTTCAGCTTCTTTTGTGATCCCAAACATTTCCATAGTTTCAACTGGGGGTTTTATTTATTTTTTATTTTATTATTTTCTATTTTATGTATTTGGTACAGAGTCTCACTATGCAGCTTGGATGTGTAGTGATCCTCCTGTTTCCAGCCTCCACAGTGCTAGGATTATAGGCATGCACCACAATACCCAGACAGGTCACTCAATGGCTCAGCATGCCTGGGGGCAAGGCTGGCACAGCATGCTGGATCAGGGATCAAGCCCTGGTCCCTGAGCTTGCCAAAGCAGGTACTTAGTTCACTGCAACTGTGAGTTTTAAATACATTATATCTTCAAAATTTGCCTTTCTAGACTAGCCCTGATTGAACCTCAGAATGGAAGGCTGTCTACTGAACATTTTCCAGTAGATATCTAGTAGGAATTTCATCACATAATAAAAACTACCTTCCTTCCCTCCTTCTCTTTTTTTTCTCCCCTCCAACTCTCCTTTATTCTATTTTATTTATTTATTTTTTGGGTGCTATGGATTGAACTGTGAATCTTGTACAATATTCTTACTTTTAGCTGAGGTCTCCTTCATTTGCTAGTTCCACAATACAGTACAGTAGATTTTTCTCAAGGCCCCACTGAGTCAACACTAAGGAGGTGGGGTAGAGCACGACCTACCTTAACTATTTAATAGGTTTTTTTTGTTCTCTGTGTTCACTTTCTCTCTCTCAGGGAGCGGGTGTGTGACAAAACATTCCATAGCTAAGCAGATCTGAAAACCAAGGGGGTCCAGTCTGTATTTTGTATACTATTGAGAATTCTATATTTTTGTTACCTTTTATGTTATCTGTAGAATAAACAAATACAACCAAAAATAAATAAACACTGATAACCCACTTACGTTTGCCAGGAGTTGTACTTGATTATTTTCCAAATGTTTATTACATTTAGATTTTTTAATAAGCATGTGGGGCAGATATTATGGATTTTGTTTTACAAGAAAACTGATCATATATGGAGTAGCCACTTTTTTTTTTTAACTTTGTTTTCTTATTTCATTTGAAGGTTATGTAAATAACAAAACCAGGAATGTACATAGTCTTTTTGAAGAGAATAAAAAAACTACAAATTATACAAATTTCCATATTGATTAAAGTTCAAAATTTTAGGTTTGAACATTCATAGATGAGGTATTTTGAATATTGCTTTTAAAATTAATTTAATTAATTTATTTATTAATTAATTTTTTGGCGGAACCGGGGATTGAACTCAGGCTCTTGTGCTCACCAGAGAGGCACTTATTCCACTGAGTCATCTCCCCAGCCCCTAAAATTAATTTTAAACTGATAAATAAAAACAAAAATTGTATAAACATATGGGGTACCATGTGATGTTTCAATACATACATATACTGGGTAACATTTATATCAACTTAAACATTACTCAAATATTTATATTTATTTTTTGCAGAACGAGATTGGACACAGGGCCTCATGCATGGTACTTAGTACTCTAACACTGAGCTATAACCCCCAGCCCATTTACCATTTCTCTACAATGAAAACTTTTAAAATTCTGGTATTACTGAACCACCCTACTATGTATTAGTAGACCAGAACTTCTTGCTCAGTAATACTTACTCCTTTAACTAAGAACACTATTTTTTAAATGCTTAACACTTTGCAAAGCTTTTTAAAAAAACTTTTTATTCATTTTAATGAGAAAAAATAGCAATGAAAGTTTCAAAATAGGTTAGTAGACTGTTATAATAATTAATACATTGTATATTGTTGTCTTCGTAGTCATTCAGAGGACAAGATGTAGACATGATATCTTGTCTACACAATATTAGTATAAACCTTTCTTCTCCTTGAACTAATAAAGCTTTTTTTTGCAGTACTGGGGATTGAACTCAGGACCTTGTGCTTGCCAGGCACGCGCTTATTCTACTGAACTATTTCCTTGGCCCCTTAAAGCTTTTTTATTTCAATAAAGATGTTTCCCTTACATTTCTTTACCGTACTGGATAGTAACTGTAACTTACACTTGTATAGTACTTCACCAAATATGTCCATAGCCCATATACATTATCCAACTGGATCTTCACAACTGTTTAAGCAGGTATAGAAGGTATTATTATCCTCACATAATGAAGGGCTCCGAAAAATTAAATGGTTTCCCCGGAGTTACAAAGTTAGTAAATAAATGGCCTAACTCCAGGTCTCCTGACACTAAATTCATCTTTTCCACCATAGCAGATATCTTGATTCTCTGATCTTTACATTTTTTTGCAAAGGTCCCTTATGATAAATTACATATTCTTTGACATGGCTAGCATTAGTTGTAATATGTTTTTTCACTATGGAGTGCTAATATATATGGAAATTGAGATAAATTTTGCCATGTAACTAAACTAGTTGGCTTTTTGATGCTGTCTTAAATGACTTGGCAGGACAAATGAATCAAGCCATGGCCTACTTATGACCCTATTACTTAAAAAGTTAAATGATATAATACCTAAGAAATAAGCACAAAATAATGTTGATATACTCTGTAAGTCACTAAAGATGGTATGAATGTGCCCTCAGAAGAACAGGTATTCACTCAATTGACTGAATTAATGAATAATTCTGTTACCTCAGCTCCAAGTTTTATCTGTAATTACAGTGAGCACATCTTCCAAACAGAGACATCTCTGTAAAGAAAGAGGGTGCTATTAATTATGCCATAAAACAGATGTAAACTAGGACTGCTTCAGGCAAAGAAGAACAAATAGTAACTCTGCCTTCAAACTAAGAAAGAACACTGATATTCTTGAGGAAATTAAATTATATTTAACTTGAAAATATTCAAGGATGTGTAGAAAAAGATCAATGAAAATTTCTAAAAAGAAAAAGATTAATGAGGCTGCTAATACTACAAATATAAAACATATAATATCTGAATAAAAAATTTCTTCCCAGATTTTAATGTTAACTGAGTACTTTCCACAAA